GGTCTCCAGACCGCAGGGAATAATTCACGAATTCGAAAACCTAGCTAAACGCCGTTTTCCGGTACTTTCTGTACATAGCTCTGGGGAATTCACCAAATGGAGTGTAATAGCGAACTCGATGTTTTCGGCCTTTTTAAAATTAAATTGAAATAAAACAAGTTATTTTTTATAAGAAAATAATTAAATATCATTGTATGAATAATTCCATACAAAAAACAAAGTAAATACACAAGTTTACACAGAAAATAACCTTATTTATTATGGAAGATTCCACAACATCTGTTTTAATTTTATTGATTTTCATTGTAAACAATTTATTTTTTGAAAAATTTAAAATATATATTAAAGGAATATAGATAATTTTCAAATACATCAATTTTTGTCACCTTAAACGGTAAAAGAATGATTGAAAAATAGAAACATCATGTATAATGTACTTCATTTGATGTAATTCCCCAGAGCTAAATCCGTAACGTACCGGAAAACGGTGTTTAGCTAGGTTTTCGAAAAGGTCAATATCCAAAATATACCCCCTATACAGTATAAATAAACACAAGGAATGAAACACCTTTTCCCCACCCCAACATAATTTACGCCAAACAAATCAACAAAACAACAGATCAAAATAATCTATCGGGCCATTTCGATAAACAATACATAAATCCATCAAATTTCATTCCTTGTGTTTTTTTATACTGTATAGGGTGTTACTTGGATATTATCATTAATCTTGATAGAATTTCAAGTTCATGTGCATTGACCAGGATGATATTGTACCTGACACCAGTCAGAAAATAATTTAATTGAATAGAAAGTGACTTAAACAAGGTATATCCTTCAATTAAAACATGTGTGAGTTCATGTTTTACATATTATGTCAAACGGTCATGGTGAAATTGAATAAGTAAATCAATTTCATTTGTTGTATCAATCATAACATGGTACAAAATTATTGTAGCCCGGGGTTCTATGTATCACGGTACTTAACGCTTTTTGAAAATATTCAAATATAAATATCCTACATGAATGAGATTTTTCTTCTAGCTAATAAGTGAACCTTTTCCAGAACTGTTTGTCAAAAAATTATTTCAAAAAAACCCAATGAAAATGACATTTTTAAAACTATTTCCAACGTCTGCCACTTTGGGTAAATACAGAGGAGGTTACTATGGTATCACAGTAATCCCCAAATATGCAAGTATGGAAAGATAGATAGGTCAAAATCTTCAAGTTAATTTGCGAAAAACTTCAAACAGTTAATTTGCTATAATATTCAAACTATATGAATTGACGATATATCCGTATATGTGATTGTAACAGATTTTAATACAGTGTGTAAAAACAACTAAGGGAAATAGTAGTCAAATATGAAGATTTTATAAAATAGTTTTCTTCCCACAATACATTAATAATCCACAAAACTAAATTTATTGGCAAATGAAAATGAATTTAGTGAGCCAGTTTTAAAAATATTAGCCTCATCGTGTGCCGTTTTTACTTGCAATGACAGAAAATGTAAATACTGTGATATCATAGAACCCGTGATATCATAGGAACCGAGTATACTATTATTGTGCATCCGTGCAGTCTGATCAGGATCCATAATGTTAGCTATCAGTTTCTCTACTTATAATAGGGTTTGTAAGTGAACAGCATGGATCCTGATCAGACTGCGCAAATACGCAAGCTGGTCACAATCCATGCTGGTTGCAAACGCACTATATGTTGGTTTTGTCATGGCGTGACTCATATATTTCAACATTTAGTTTATGTGTTTTAAATTGTTGAATAACTAATGAAAATTGTTGAATAGTTTCTACAACTTTTAGTAACCCTGGCATATCTTGAACAAAATTTTTAGGGATGTTACCCTGCTGTTTGAATTTAGGTTAAAATAATCCGAGGAAAATGACCTGAGTGGGTTATATTGTTTTTATTTGTTTTGTAAGCAAGATCAAGACTTAATAAAAATGTTCTAACCTTATAATGAATAAAATGTTGATAGATGCATTAATAGCTAGAATAAATTTAAAGCACCATTTTCCCTTCCATTCATTATAGGCTAAAAACTGCTTAACTAATTGAATATTGGTTGTTCTGGGATATCATAATCTTTTTTGGTACACTAGTACATATATCCAAAATACATTTATCATCATTGATTTATATGTATTTTTAGCTACCACTACAGTTTTTAACATTGAAAATGCAAAAAGAAATTAGTTTATGTAGAGCGTTGTCGGGTATATTGGGGCATCTAAGGTATATTTGTTACTGTGATTTTAAATATGCTTGTTTCAGTATTGGTATTGAATATTTAGGATAAACTCTGTGTGACTTTTGTCTATCACCGGTCACTATCATAAGCATATGCAAAACAAACGCAGTATACCTTGTTAAAAAGAACTACATGAGGAGGCAGTTTCGGGACACGTCGGGTATTTATGGGCAGAAAGAAGAGCATTTTGGGACACATTAATTTAAGTCTAAAAATAGATCTAGTTAGGTAACAGAACATAGAACACTTAATCATATTTTTCACAGTTCAGTTTGATTTAAAATTAATTTAACAAGTCGAAATTAAATATTTTATGATGCTTTATATAGAGCATGTGAGGTAAAATGGTCAAAATGTGATTCAATTTATCTGTTCATTTCGATTACTATAAGGGGGTTAATGCCCCTTTTTGTAAGCATTAATATCTTAAGAAGCATGAGGGCACATTTAAAGCTCAAGTCCACACAGTAAGGGATTTAAAAAGTCTGAGGTCTTCTGCAGACGTTGATGCACATAAAGGTGCATTAATAAACGCTATTCTTGGATAAAAATAAATGTCAAATTGGTTATTCCTTGTTTTCTTGTCTTTATTTTGTAATAAGAATTACCATAAATTGTGCTATGCTTTAAACATGCTGGTATATATAGTGTTAACAAAAGGAATGTTGCAGGATTAGCATGTAAAAGTAATGCTAGTATCCATATTTGCAAGTTATCCTCGTCACAATAAATGGTATGTTGGAATCTAAGGAGTCAGGTTCCCTTTTGCTTTTCAGTTTTTCACGCTTTAAGTCTGAGTCAATTTGTTTTATCCTTATTTTCTCTGCCCTGTTCTAATTTTGTTTTCAGATGGTTTTTACAAAAACATGTCCTACGTACAAACACAACTTCACTAGTTATTATTACCTTTTTATTATATATAATAACATACTTAACAATTGATATTTATGGTTCCAAAACACCCTACATCAATAAAATATTGTGGGGAGTATTGGAACCACATTATATGATGAATCAAGTAGTATTAACAACTAAAATATGATAACGTGTTGATCAGGAGATTTATCGCCCTAAATTTATAGTTTACTTGTACAAAATATATCATAACAAGATTTTATGAATTTAAGCATTGACTATATTTTCTTAAGGTTATTATAAAATAGTGGCATGATCACCAGGAATTTCACATCATGCAAAAATAATAGCATTCATTTGAATGTACAGGCACTGGGTGGACGCCAGGAGAAAAAGGACGATTTCATTGTCATTTTTAGCTCGACTTTTCTATGAAAAGGGGAGCTATCCTACTCGCCCCGGCGTCGGCGTTGGCGTCACACCTTGGTTAAGTTTTTCGTACCACCCCACTTTATTTCAGAAGTATTACAAGTATGGCTTTGAAACTTACCATACTTGTTCACCATCATAACCTCCATCTACAGACAAGAGTACATAACTCTGTCAAGGTTTTTGACAGAATTATGGCCCTTTTTTGACTTAGAAAGTGTATTGAGCTTGGTTAAGTTTTTTGTACCACCTCACTTTATTTCAAAACCATTGGAGGTATTTGCTTTGAAACTGACCATACTTGTTTACCATCACGACCTTCATCAACAGACAAGAGGACATAAACTCTGTCAAGGTTTTTGACAGAATTATGCCCCTTTTTGACTTAGAAAATACATTGAATATGGGTAAAATCCACTTATTGCCTTAAACCCTTTGAGATATTGCTTTGAAACTTTAATGCTATTTCACATCATTACCCCCATCTGTACGCAAGAGAAGGTAACTCTGTCAAGGATTTGTTTAAAAATTAAGGCCTTTTATCGACTTAGAATCTTGGTTAAGTTTTTAGTACCAGTCCACTTTTTTTAGCTCGACTTTTCTATTGAAAAGGGGAGCTATCCTACTCGCCCCGGCGTCTTAAACATGACTTAAACATTTCAAACTTTGCTGCAGTGTTCAAGGGTATCACACAATTCAGTAAAATAATTCTTCACTAAATATCTTAATGCTCATGGCCATTGTTCACTTTAAAAATACAGAGATTCTTGTATTGCCTTTTACTGCAAAAACTTTTTTTATTGGCAAGCAATAAAAAAGTCGAGCGCGCTGTCTTACGGACAGCTCTTGTTAAGTGAAGAACTCAATAGAATTATACTTCTAAGTGTTATAATGAGGGGCGGTCCAAAATAGCCGATGGTTCACATATAACCTACAGCGCTCTATACTATTATATAATAAATATTTTCTAAATGGATTATATTGTAAATATACTGGTCAGAAAATTTAAAAAATCTGGTCCAAAATGTTCAAACTTTTGGTTTATTTTGCATGCATTACTTGGAATATCATCAAACATGAAAAAGTTAATCATGGTGTATTTCCCAGCACTGTCAACCATTTTTCTCAATTTTTTAAGGCTATAACACATTTCAAATTCTGTATACATGTTTTTTGACATAGCACAATAGAATATATCTTTAAATCTCCATTATAAATATTCAGTCATTTACCTTCTATGTTGTATAATAAAGTATCAAACAGAAAAAAATTATCCCAAACTACATTGTCATGTTTTGTTCCAACGTAACTTTCAAATTCAGCAAAAGTAAACATCAAAATATAACTGCTTGCCATTCACAAAATAGTATCTTTATTCAATCTACATGTCAGTATTATACAAGAAAATAAAAATATATATAAATTGATTTTATTTCAGAAACAATGCCGTCAAAAAGTACCACTGCCATTCTAACAAAGCTTCGATCTTTAATGAGAAAAACAAAGCATATGTTTCAGAGCCATTACATGCTTATATTGTACCTTCTGGGGATGCACACCAGGTATCTAAATATTTTTAATTTAGAAATTAAATGTTATGTTGATCAAACAAAACTGTTTGTCCATTCTAATGGCTTTTATATTGCCCAAGTCTTCCCTTTTGAGCTCACCAAATTACAACATTGCCCAAGGTTTGCCATTTGTAATAACTGTCTCCTCCATTGTTTGTCCATCCATTCTTTTATTTAATTAAATCAATCAGTCTCTTTTTCCTCATCATTGGATTATTATGTTCCGCCGAAAAAATTTCGGGGGACATATAGTCGCTCGGGTTTCTCCATCTGTCAGTTAGCACTACCGAATAGGGATAGGGGCCATTCTTACGAATCGAGAACAAAAGAGAACAATACAGTTCATTCCTTAACAATAGAGTAAGGGGCCATTGGCCTCTATTAAACAATAGAAAATAACAAAAGAAATGGCCCCTTTAATCCATTTCGGCCAGACGTCCGTCCATTATGTACGGTGAGTACGTCCCCGAATTCGTGTCCGGCCCATAACTTCGTTATTTGAAGTCTGATTTTATGAAAACTATGTCACAGAAATGATCACCATATTGAGAAAGACGTGTCAACCACAACATTTTGGTCGCTAAACTTGAAGGTCAGGTCACATCATGACCTTGCAGCAAAATCGTGTCCGGCCATAACTTCGTTATTTGAAGTCGGATTTTACAACTATTGGTCACAGAAATGATCACCATATTGAAAGTCAAAGTGTCGCAAGCAATATTGGATCTTTACCTTGAAGGTCAAGTCACAGCATGACCTAGCAACAAAATTGTGTCTGGCCCATAACTTTCGTTATTTTGAAATCGGATTTTACAAAACTATTTCACAGAAATGATCACCATATTGAGTCGAAGTGTTGCACGCAACATTTTGGTCGCTACCTTGAAGGTCAAGGTCACAGCATGACCTTGCAAAAAAAAAAATCATGTCCGGAATTGGGCCATAACTTCGTTATTTTGAAGTCTGATTTTACAATTATTTCACAGAAATGATCACCATATTGAGAAGATGTGCCACACGCAAAACATATGGGTTGCACCTTGGAAAGGTCAAGGTCACAGCATGACCTTGCAACAAAATCATTTCCCGCCGCCCATAACTTTGTTATTGAAGTTGGATTTTACAACTATTTCACAGAGATGATCACCATATGAGACAAATGTGTTCGCATGCAACATTTTGTTGTTTTAACACTTTGAACTTTGTCTGTGACATAACCTCTGACACTACAAGAGGTATACCTTCCTGTGTTCCGAACCTATTCGGAAGCATCACCCGGTCAACTGCTCTTGTCCTTCCATGATTGGATCCCTTTCAAATCTGTTAAAGATAAATCTGTAAAAAACCTGTATTGATAGACCAAATTCAACAAAAAGTCAGCAGTGAATTTTTAACAGTATGTCCATTGGAAAATGCCTACATGCAGTCTTCATAATAAAACATTGTGACAGAAAACTTATTTTAGGGTAACTTGATTGCCTTCATTTTCTATAATTCGCCATTGTATTAAAATTATGTATTTTTAAATTATCAAGGTATAAAGATGTATTTTAATTAGTTTTTACTTTAAAGCTGTATAAGTAGTTAGGATAATTTTTGATGTTGTTTATTTTCATATGTATATTTGTATTTTACTCAAAAAGTTACTTCAACCACTGACTTTAAATAAATCTGTACTTCAAGTGACAGACACTTATAGAAGTAAGTTAAAAATCAGTATCAAGGAAATGTTTTATTTTTATTAGACAATCACATAACATTGTTTTCATTCACTTCATAAATGATGCCTCAACAGTATAAATAGAGCTTGCCACAGTCAAAAGCGTCAGTTTGGTTTCGTCTGTGAGCAGATCAGAGCAGTATTAATATTTTTTACTGGTACATCAGAAATCTCAATATCTGGTGACTAAAAAATATCTGCTTTTCTGTAAACGTCATGGACAAACGTTTTGAATTAAAGAAAGATTGAAGAAATGGTTTTTAATTTAATCTGAATTGTCTGTGTATTAGAAGGAATGGATTACAGGTAGTAAATAGATACTAGTGTACGAGAAGTCTCAGATATCTGGCACTAAGGACATTTTACAATATCTGGAATTATATTTTTGAATGATTTTAGAAATAGATTAAGATTGTTATCATGCATTGAATGATGTTTTTTTTCATTATTCCAGTCATAAGGTTTTTAAGTATCATGAGAAAAATTACATGATTTACATATCAAGATTATTAAGATTAATTTATCGTAGCATCTCGCTCAAATTACTAATATTTTCATTTGTGGCTGAATATTTTGTGAAAGATTCATTTAAATTTATTTAAAAGAAATGCATTGTTTTATGTTTTCTGTGTTTTTCAGAGTGAGTATATAGCACCTTATGACAAACAGGAGGCATTTATCTCTGGATTTGATGGATCTGCAGGTAAACAGTCATCTTTTACATTTTTAGCTAATGTTTCAAAGAAAATAAGTGTAGCTTTTGTCATAACTCTCTACTGTTGAGTCTGACTATATTTATATTTATTGTTGTTGATTTTAATGATGCAAGGGAATAACTTGAAAAGAATCAAAAGAATTTGATTAACACTTCGCACAGTGAGAGGAAGTGCAATGGTCAAGAACTATTTTCAGCCTTGCTAAACTGTTAAAACTATTGTCTCTTAAATAGTAAAATAATGCTTGTTACACTTTTGCTTATAGTCTTATTATTGACTGAATCTCTTCATGTTTGATAGAATCATACCTTGCATGTTTTGTTTTCTTTTTTGATTTTAACTTTTGCTGTAGTAACTAAGATTGCTCTTTTGCAAATTTCTTGTTATGTTTAGAATATGACATGTAATTGTATTTCGTTTATTGAAGGATTTATGTGTTATTTTATACAATGTTTGTTTATACATTTTACACAATAATGATTATAAAATTTATACAGAAATTGTGATGTAATGAAACATTTCATACATAGACATGCATGTATTTACACCATTCATATGCTGTATTGATACAAATAATACAGATATATTGATACATATCATACACAAATGTTGATATTGATACATATATACAGATATATTATACATTATCATACACAAAATGTTGTATTGATACAATATTATCAGATATATTAAACATATCATACACAAAATGTTGTTTTTGTACATATATACAGATATATTAATACATATCATACACAAAATGTTGTATTGATACAATATATACAGATATATTAATACATATCATACACAAAATGTTGTATTGATACAATATATACAGAAATATTAATACATATCATACACAAAATGTTGTATTTGTACAATATATACAGATATATTAATACATATCATACACAAAATGTTGTATTGATACAATATATACAGATATATTAATACATATCATACACAAAACGTTGTATTGATACAATATATACAGATATATTAATACATATCATACACAAAACGTTGTATTGATACAATATATACAGATATATTAATACATATCATACACAAAATGTTGTATTGATACAATATATACAGATATATTAATACATATCATACACAAAACGTTGTATTGATACATTATATAGATATATTAATAATACATATCATACAAAAAAACGTTGTATTGATACAATATATACAGAAATATTAATACATATCATACACAAAACGTTGTATTGATACAATAATTACAATATATTAATACAATATCATTACACAAAACTTGTATTGGATCTACAATATATAAGATATATAAATACAGATATATACACAAAACTTGTATTGATAAACCCCCAAAATACAAAATACTATTTTAATACATTCATACACAAAACTTGTATTGATACCAATAATTAACAGATATATTTAATAATAAATACACAAAAATTTTGTATTGATACAATTATATATCCAGATATATTAATACATATCATAATCACAAACGTTGTATTGATACTCAATATTAATACAGAAATATTAAATACATATCAATACACAAAATTGTTGTATTGATAACAATTATATAAGATATTTAAAAACATATATACACAAAAATTTGTTTGAACAATTATATACAGAATATTGTAAACTTCATACACAAAAGGGTTGTTTATACAATTATAAAAAGTTTATTTTAATAAAATTTTCATACACAAAATTGTTTTGCACACCAAAAGCTGTTAAACAAAACCAGGCGGGTTTAGGAAACAGAGGGAGCTTTTTTCTTCGGGCCCGAGAACACTGGATAAAATTTAAAACACAATGAAAAGATGTACTTGTTTTTTTAAAATTTAAATAACAAAGTTATAAAAAATTTTTTTAAAATGATAAAATGTAGAAATTTGTGAAAAATTTATTGTAAGCCCAAATATGGGAATACTGTTTTATGTTTATTTAACATACTGAATTTTATTAATGGATTTTCCCGAGTGAGTAAATTTTAAATTTTTGGGGATTTTAAAAAATTAAAGCTACCAACAATATAGAGCCTTTTACAAGTTTAATTTTATTTTCCCGTTCCAGAAAGGAAAAATTTTAAACAGTTATTTTTTAATATCTCCCTATTTTTAAAAAATTATATGATTTGAATAAATCATTAACGTCCGCCTTTAAGTGATTTTTTAACTAACAAAAGAGCTAAAATGTGCCCCCATTTTTCTAAAACCGAAAAAAAATTTTAAATTAAATTTTTGGGGGGGGAAAAAAAAAATCTTGTAAAATTTTTTCTAACCAATTTTTTTTTTAAATCATGATTTTTCAGGGAAAAGCCCAATTAAATAGTTTTTTTATTCTCTTTAACTATACATGTATTTTCCACATTTTAAATTTTGTAAAGCCCCTTTAAACTTTGGGTTAAATATAAAGAGCAAATTATGACACGGGAAAAATATTCTGTGTTTTTAATTTTCGAAAATTTTTCTTTTCAGAAAAAAATTTTTTCCCTAATAAAATTTTTTAATTATATCTTACATAAACTTTTTAATAGTGACTTGAATGAAAAAATCAAACCCGTCAAAAATCAGTCAATTTCATTCATTTGAATTTTTCACAACTCTAAAGTTACTAGCAAGATTTAAAGCAAAAACATGCTATAAAACATTTGCGAAAATAGTTTACAAGAACAATGTTTTATATTTTTGTCAAAAGTAAGTGCACAATTTAAGAAAATTATGGGAAAACAAATAAAACCCTTTTCCCTATTGAAAATATTAGCCGCTGCTACTTCCATTGCAGCCAATAAATGAAAAAATTTTGTTTGGTGTCCCACATATTTTATCTGAAAAATACACACAAAAAAAAAATTAATTTATTAAATTGGGTATAAACATCAAATTTCAAAACAAATATTTCCAATTAACAAACAATGGCAATGGAGCCAATTTTTATTTAAATCTTCTGTTAATTCTTTTATCTGACTTGCTATAATTGTAATTGTTTTGGGAACCCCCGGGAACAAGAAACAAAAAAATTTAAAAAATCGAATAAATGCATGACATGACTATTTCATTACTAAAATATGTAAAAAAATATGAATTTATTTTTTTATATATTTGAAGGAATCCCCGGGCACTCCTAGTCAGTGAGGGTTTAAAATATTTCCCAATTGGGGGAAGAGTCGGAGGGGACCCTTTTCTTGGCAAAGGGTATTTTAATAAATTTTTTTTATCAATCTATCAAACTCTATTACAATTCAAATCTTTTGCAATCTGCACTTTTTTTTTAGAAAAGTCAACTTGTTTTTCCTGTTACACCGGTTGTTTAACTGAGAGAAAAATTTTTAGACAAAGAAAGACAAAGAACTATACTTTTAGGGTCATGTCAGGATAGATCCAATTTTCTGAAAATGTAAAATGTTTTAAAGCCTTATTTTACCTTTATTTACAGAACCTGGAAACCCTTTCCTAAACTCTAAAGATCTAACGGAATATCTAGTGCCTGTATAGAAAATTTGATTGATTGTATGGGATGAATCAGCCGTCACGCCTAGCAACAGTCTCAATTATCTTGAACTAGAAATATACAGGGGCAATGAGTTGTACCTATATGGGTGATAAAATTATTGGGTTTAATAATTTAATAACTACTAATGTAGACTTCATTCAAAAAAAAACAAAAACCTTTCATGGTTTTTGTCAAATTATAAAAAAATTGAAATGTTTTTCATGTAAGGAAAACATTCATTATTGACAATTTATTCTGCATTATAGACTTTCTCTTTTACTTAGATTTCTTTTCACTTAATAAATTATTGAATATTCATTGTTTAAATTTGTCCATACAGGATCAGTAGTTTTTATTGCTCACCTGTCACTTAGTGACAGGGACTTTTGTGATCGCTTTTCGTCCCCGGCGACGTCCGGCCGTCGTCCGTAAACTTTTATTTTAAATGACATCTCCCTCAAAACCACTGAGCCCAATTTCATCCAAACTGTCACAGGAATTTCCTTTGGTGTCACCTTCTAAAAATTGTTCAAAAGAATTTAATTCCATACAGAACTCCGTTGTCCATGGCATCCAAAAAGAAAAAAACTTTAAAATATCATCTTCTTTTAAAAAAACCAAAAGAGCTAGAGCTTAAAATATTTGGCAGAAACACCTTTTAGTGAGTGCTCTCCAAGTTTGTTCCAAATAAAAGCCCTGGGTCAAAATTGGCCGCGCGCGCCCAGGTGTCATTGATTTCCCTATAGTATATAGTAAAAACTTTAAAAATCTTCTTTTAAAGAACCCAAAAGAGCTAGGCATCTAAGATATTTAGCAATGAAAAAATCTTCATATGGGGTGTTACCAAGTTTGTTCAAATAAAAGCCCTTGGGTTAAAATTGGCCCCCCCGCCCCAGGGGGTCCATTGATAAATTTCCCCATAATGCCATATAGTAGAAAAATTAAAAATCTTCTTTTAAAGAACCTAAAGAGTAGAGCTAAAGATATTCTAGCATGAAACAGTTCTAAATGGATTGTCTACCAAGTTTGTTTAAATAAAGAGCCCTTGGGGTCAAAATTGGCCCTTAGCCCCAGGGGGTCATTGGAATTTTTCCCTATATGAATATAGTAAAAACTTTTAAAAATTCTTTTTTAAAGAACCCAAAAGAACTAGAGCTAAGATATTTAGGCAGGGAAACAATGTTGCTCAAATGGATTCTACCAAGTTGTTTCCAAATAAGAGCCCTGGGGAAAATTGCCCCGCCCCGGGACCCATTTGATTTTCCTTTATATGTGTATAGCAAAACCCAAAAAATCTTATTTGAAATAACCCGAAAGCTAGAGTTTAGATTTTAAGAAATAAAAATTTCTAGTAATTTACAAAAATTGTTCAAAAAAAAAGCCCTTGGTAAAAAACGGCCCACCCCCAGGATTTGTCATTTTTTTTAAAAATTAATGTATATTGTAAAGAAAAAATTTAAAATTTTTTTTTTTTTTTTAAAAAAAC